AATAAAAAAAAATATAAAAAATAAAACGTGTTATTTCTTAAAATCTCTTACACCCTGTTACGTTCTGTTTCTTTCCCATGGATTGATGTCCTGAATGCAGAGAACGTAAAATAAATAACGTAAAATAATAATTATTTTACGTTCTCTGCATATTGTTGTAAGCCAAGGCACTGCCCTTCTTCTCTCATTTTAGCAAACTAATTATATGGCTCTAAAAATGTAACATCCTTCATTCAGGATACGCCTACAGGGTGTCTAATATGAAAAAATATTTTCTAAAACCATTTTCTCAGCATTATCCTACGAAGCACGACACCTAGCGCTCATTAGCCATGTCAGTGTAGTAACCTCCGCTAGCTAAATTGATGTCCTTGCTACAACAAACGGCTCTTTAGTCACTTTGCGTGGCAAAAGTATAGCCTTCCAGCGTCCACACGACGACAGCTAGGCTTCCAACACGCTCGCCAATGCCTCCGAGCAAAAGTCGAATGTCATATGAGTCAGAAGGCAACAAACAGCGACCGCAAGTGCATTCAATCATTCAAGTGGCGACAGGAGACAGTGAAAATATTTGCGAAAGGACAACGGCACGAAAGGATAAGCGAGCGAGTGGATGCCAAAAGCAATATAAAAATTGGAGAAAATGCTACAAACAGTGCAATGTTGTTGGTGTTTTTTCTAGCAAATCATAGCTAAATGTCAACAAAGCAATTGCTTTTGTATGCATAACTGACAGACGTTACTGACTGTTGTTTGACACCAGCGCGCAGAAAATGCCAAAAAGCAGCATGAAAACAAAGTGAATACAATAATCAGCAATCAAAGTAGACAAAAGGAAGCGCAAGCCAGCATCACCCAACCACGACGACAGCAAAGTAACACGGCAGCAGTAGAAATAGCAATATTGTAGCATACACTCAGGCGCTAACAGAGCAGTTGAGCAGGAAGCGCTGCAAACTGATGCGAGTAAAAAGTGAAATAAGTGAAGCGAAAATTTTCAAAAATCGGCAGTGAACTAAAAATTAAATATTTCAAAAAATTTAATTTAAAAAAATCATCACAAAAAAAGTCATTAAAAATATACACAGGAAGATAAGTTTGCAGCAGTGTGTGGGGAAAAAATTATATAAAAACTTTTGCTCGCATGCGGCATGCCATTGAGTAACTGTAAGGCGTAGCTAGAACAACAAAAACAGAAGCAGATGTTCACAAGACAGCAGCTGCGTCAACAACAATAGAAACAACAACAACAATAATATTTGTAAAGCAACGAAACGCGATTACATAAATATTAATTAGCATAAAAGTAGAGTTGAAGGCGTTCGATCGAAGTCAACGCACAGCAGCGTGTGTCCAAGCACACACTCCCAAACACAAGCGCGAGCATAGAGGAAGTGCCCAGTAATGGCAGCGCGAGCATATTGATTGCACAACAACAAGTTAGCTAGTGAATAAAAAGTTACAATTTAATTGAAAGACAGTGAAACAAAGACTAAGTGCGATAGAATTTGGTATTTGTTGTACAACAACAAGAACAAATTAAAAAAAAAAACTTACGAAAAAGGAGTGTTAATAAATTTGATACAGAAAAAAGTAAAAAAAAAAACAAAATAGAAGAGCCCTGGAAACTACTTCATACGATTCAAAGCAAAAAAAAGCAACGCACACTGTAAGCAGAACAAATAGCAATAACAAAACTAAAGCAGCAGCAAAACTCATTTAAGGCATAGAGGTAAGCTAAGCAATGCACATTATAAATTTACATTTTAAAAATATATCAAAATATAAAATAAAAATGCTTTGGCTAACATAATGTGTTATTAGAAGCCTTCTGTAAAATCCGCTCTTAAAGTTAGGCTTTGAAATACTAAACTCCCACAAAAAACGTTCCTAAATGTATACTTCTAAATAACATACCCAACAAAACCAATAATAAAGGTATACTACTATCTACTATACTGTGCTTACTTTACTCGTAAAGGTATTCTTCAAAATATTGTGACCTGCCAAAACCACTCATAAAGGTATAATTTCACATACTATATTAAAAATATATACATAAATATTTTTAAAAATACATCAAAAGAAATCAAAAAATAGTTTCGCTAACATATAGTGTTACAGTAATCGTTCTGAAACACAAATCCTAAAGCTATACTTCTAAATTATATGCTCTGTCAAAAACCATACCTAAATGTATACTTCTGTGTACTATACTATCTCAACTCCACTCCTAATGGTATACTTCAACATATTATAACCATTCAAAAACCGCACCTAAAGGTATACTTTCATATAGCATCTTAAACACAACCTAAAATTACTAGCTTATTGAACCTCGTAGAAAAGTTTAATTAACCGACAAAAATATGTATTTCAATTTAGTTGTCAAAAAAAATTTTCCAATTATCAAACAAATGATTCCTGAGGGACAGCAGATCTTGCTATTTCTAAACAATTGTGGTTTGTTTGAAACTTTTTTGAAATGTTGCAATGCTGGCGACTAGTTGATGCTTTGGGGCCACCGTACGAGAGTTAAACTCTTAAATGATCAACATACAAAGCGATTAAATATGTTCATGAACAGGAATGGGCACGACTACAATCTAACAATAATGAAAAATCCCTCTCTCTCAAAAGGCTTGTCGAAAACCTCAAAACTAAGGATTGTCCAAACCTAAGAAGCGTCTCAGTTTCAACTCTCTAACGAAAGATAACTCAGTTCCCTTATTACTCGCACATAAAGTTAGCAAAGAGTTGTATGTTGCTACCAGAGCCCAAAAAGATGTATTTAAACACCAAAAAAGAAGCGTACATCGCTACCATCATGTCCTTATAATTCGTTATTAAGAAAGACTAATTAGCGAAATCGTAATAGGATTAAGGCTCAAAGCTCAGAGTAGAAAAATGTATATGAAAACAAGGCAATCGGACCTTAGGTCTCCTTTTACCACCTTGAAAGGCTGTACTAAGTTCGACCCTTATTCAGAGTAGCAGAACTTGAAGACGTCTGTAACGGCAAAGTAATATTCCTATCCAGTGCCCAGAAAACGCAGGTTAAAAGAACATCTACTCTATATCCTCTATTGTATCCACCTTGCAGAGATGGCTGGCGCTTCAAGGAATAAGCTATGATCTTGAGAGTGACAGACCTCCCCTCTTCAATGATGACTTTGTAAGAATTGGTGTCCACGTCTTTATTCTGTTGTTGTGGCCAAATATAGCTTGGGGGTATCTCGCTGCTCCTTCAAAATTATTTCTCCGCGAGAGAGGCGTAGAAAAGTTATGGATTTGTAGGTGAAGATCCGGTGGAATTACCACAGCTTAAAGTTACAACACCATTAACAAGGAGTCACTTAAGATCTTTATATTTCGGAGAGAGTAATGTGCGAAATATAAATATTCATCGAAACCCTTTCAGGGGTCACATCTGTTATGAATTCGGATTATTAGTCATTAGCTTGACTTTGCAAACACCGATGAACATTTTTTACTTTCTCTATCCTTTTTTCCTGCTATGTCGACCTCCTCATCAGCCAACTCTCCATTGCAGCCCATAATTAACATTATTTTATGAGAACATAACCCTCTCTTAAGAGATACTGCTGATTCGGCAGAAATGTCTGAACTGAATTTCAATTAAAATTACTTCGAAATTTGCAAATAACTGTAATAATACTTTAAATTTATGAGTTTACATGCTAAATATACAAATATCACAACCCTTTCGAAAATGACAGGCCATTAAAAAAGAGCAGCAGTTACTGGCGGGGGATGAGTGACAAAATATGGATAAAGTTTTAATGAAATAATGCGGCGTAAAGTGAAGGCGGGTCAACTGCGAATAATCGCTACAACATGTGGTCAACTATTAAGCTGCCAAAAAGAAAAAATTAAATGGCCCAGTAGGAAAAATATAGTCAAAATGAATAAATTTGACATACAAAGAGAATATACTGAATGTGCTGAAAAAATATATATCGGGTGATTTTTTTGAGGTTAGGATTTTCATGCATTAGTATTTGACAGATCACGTGGGATATCAGACATGGTGTCAAAGAGAAAG